TAGACTCACCTAGGTCAAGCTACCCGTCCATACCCCCTTAATAGTATGGCCAAAGGAAAAACAAAGTCCTAAACTACTCTAAGTGTCTCTTCATCTCCAAACGACACTTAGAACTAATCCATCTTTAACCTTGTCGTCCATCCTTTGAAAACCGAAACGATTTCCATCGTAGGGGCATGACCACCATGATTGCCCAATCGATCTTCATTACCATGACCTAACTTAATTGTATTTGCAAAACACACGTTAGTCATAGTAATCACATATTGTCATTAATCATTGAAACCTAACTAGGGACCTAGATGCTTTCAGGTCCAATCGTAGCTGATCCCTAACATATTGTTTCACAAAAACAAGCTACAGTTATAACAACTCTTTGCACGGATGGCTCTAGAAGAACACTAAAACGAATTAAAAAAGTTACTGGAGTGACGATCACTTAGTAGCTAGGTTAGCAAACAGAGATAGGAAGGGTCAGCAAGGATAACTTTTTTTTTGCTTGTTAAAAAACGAAGACTCCATAGTAAATTCAACATATAAACATTTTGTCAACACAAGATTTGGTGGTTAAAGATACCACTAAAAAGTAAAATATTAAAATGTTCATATGGTTCCTAAAGATGGCGCTACTCTTAGGCGATGTTTGGTTTCTTCTCCTAAACTTTAGTCGCTGTCCCATCGAATGTTTGAACACATACATGAATTATTAAATATAGACTAATTACGAAACTAATTGCACAACTTACGACTAATTTGTGAGACGAATCTTTTAAGCCCAATCAGCCCATGATTTGACAATGTAGTGCTACATTAAACATGTGCTAATAACGGATTAATTAGGCTTAATAAATTCATCTTGTGGAGTACTGACTGATTCTGTAATTTATTTTTTTATTAGTATCCGAACACCCTATGCGACACCCTGACGTGACACCTTCTAAATTTTGGTCACCGGATCAAACACCCCCTTAGTATAGATAGTTTAGTCAGGAGCAATTAGAACAGGATTAAGTTGGATGCATTCTGCCGCACGAATGAATCAAAACAACGTCTCGTCTTTGATTGCATTGTACAGAGACAGTCGCAATGAACTTCTTTCCTTCCTTTGGACGGTCGATAATTCTAGACTTAATTTTTGAGTCTGACTCTTTTTTATTTTATTTTATTTATGTATAATAATTGATCTAATTATCTTGGTCACAAGAATAATCTTTTTAGAAAGGACGAGAATATGAATTTTATGTATTGCTTGCACATGCATGCTTCCGATTTGCCCGGTGTGTACCACTCTGGGTCCATCGCTGGCGGATCGAATCAGATGTCCAATTGTCCAAAGCTACCAGCAAGAGGAGCATCGTCGAAAGTTGGATGGCATCTTATTCATCAACACTCAGATGGAATGGAACCAAGGAGGGAAAGGAACGGGAATAGGAATACAATTATACAGCGATTTCTTGAGGATCGGTCAGGTCAGTTTTCTATTTAAAAAAATCCGAGACGAGACGACGCTGAGGGAGTTTGACTCTTCAGCAAGAGGGCGCCAACAACGCCGGCGTCTCCTCCGTCGCGACCGCACGTCTGCGTCGGCTACGAACTGCGCCGCAGATCCCCTCCGTCCCGGGAAGCCAACGCTGCGGCTCGATTGTCGACGCCATCACGCCAACGTAGGAAGCCGAGGCTGTGGTATGCTTACTCTATTTCTCTTTTGCTCTCTCCACTCACAATTAGGTCATGTCGGTATTACTTCAATCCATATATGTTAAAGTGGATTAGTGTAAAACTTAGACTCTAGTTAGCACGGCTCAAAAATGGCTCTGACTCTTTACTACATTGCGTGCAGAAGTCGAAGCTAGAGCCGATGAAGAGAAAATAATAGTTTCATGGCTCCTAATTCATTTTGAGAGTAAAAAGAAAGATGGCTCCTCGCTAGGTGCATAGAGGAGCCGGAGCAGTCACCTGAAGCTCTATCAAATCTTAGGTTCTCTATCCAAATTGGTTTTGCTAATTCAACTTAGTGTGTGGCCATTTAGGCCCCGTTCGCTGGTCTGAAACTTAGCTGAAACTGATTGGTTTTTTTGAGAGAGAAATATTGTAGCGGCTGGTTGATGAACAATATTTTTGTAAGGAGGAGCAGCCGGCTGGTCTGAAACTTTCAATATTTTTGTAAGGAGGAGCAGCTGGCTGGTCTGAAACTTTCAGACCAACGAACGCGCCCTTAAGGTGGAATCGTGTGGGCCATAAAACCCTATCCTTTCAGACATCCTTGCTGAACCAAATATGCATCACCCTGTTCTCAACTTCTCGTCATGGTGGTTTCTCACTTTTGCATCAGCAAAAGGCGACAACTAAGGTCAGCCTCAACGCACCACGGTGGCGTACTGCCACAACTTCCATGTCATCTTCCATGTCATCGATTATGTGCCATATCATACACTGGGTGGCTTGCAGAAGCATCAATCGCCTCGTCTGACGCACAGCAGAAGCATACACCGAAAGCAGCGCTGTGGTTAGATAGAACCCATTTCGCAAGGAGAGAGAATATCAAAGTGAGGAAAAAAGCATCTGCATGTCCAGCTTTTTGGCTCTTCAAAAGCAGCGAAGCGACAGGATGAGAGTAAATTGAGGCTCAGTAGATGGTAGTCTCACTCCCTCTCTTCACATACGTGGACTTCAACTTTTGAATGCCCGCGTTGGTGGTGCCCTAAGGACTGACCCAACACATGCCATGGACATTGGCCTAGGACCTATCTGAGGTTGCAACCTCTCGGACACTATCCATGCCGTGCTATTTTTTTCGAAGCGAGGAGGATTATATTAAAACTTGGCATACTATATCCTAAATTATACATGAAAAAATTTTGAAATAAAAAATACATAATATTCTATCTAGATTCTTCCATCATCTTCTTTCCTAGCGGCTTCCCTCGAACGCTAGAGTTAAAGTGTGGTCCTTATGCTGAATCCAACAACCCACCCTAAAATATTAGACATGCCGCAAGATCCTTTAGAACCTGTCCAAAACGTATCTGAATCGATGAAACAATATCGACAGTTGCATCTTCGGGTACAACATAGGATGCAGATACATCACCTCCAAACCTTCATTTCCTCTCCGCGATCGTCAACGAAGAGATCGATGATCCGGAGTAGCTATTCTCATTGGGAGCGCCTAGAAGCACCCCACGCCTTGCAGATAAAGGCCATAAATTGGCCGCCTGCCGATAAAATCGACGCCTGCAACAGAGTCTCGTCATGGCAATCACCAAAGTCGTCGCAGAAAACAAGATTGTGACTGAAAATCATTTGATTTCGTCGAAAGCTTTATTTGGACTAAACCCTAAGCAACTAGATATGAAACCGCGGAAAAAGGATGGGTCCCCTCCCCTTCTTATCCCCGGCAGATGCACCAGAGAGAACGCTATTTAGCCTCACATGGCAAGGCAGTGGCGTAAATAGTAGGGAGAGAACGCTATGTATAGCACTACTAACTAATCAGGGTTCAAAATTCCAGTGAAATTTTGCGAATTTCGGTAATTTCGGTGGTGGCAGAAAGAAAATTCTAAAATTTTGCAATACACTAATACATGTGCTGTATAACTTTAGACTTATATTTTCTATTGTTTATGTTGCATATTTTTCTACTCAATAGATGTGTAGTCATAAATTATGCTAATACTTGTTTAGAATATATCTACATACCAAATTTATGATCGCAAAACATATAGTTTCAAGATATTGTAGCTTTTAAAGAATGCAACATCCAAATGGGTCCTCATGAAGACAACATATTTTATTGAAGTATGAAAATACATTCATTTTCTTTGCACATTATGGTTTACAATACTACTAGAGCGAACTTAAAGAAGGTATCTAAGAAAGAACAATGGCTAGACTTTTTATTAGTAATACCAATAAGTAAATACTTTGTCGGGACTTACAACATTGACTATGTTTGTGGTAACAAATTTATTACCAAGTAACTAATGAACACACATGAGACAATCCATAAAGCAACTGATCATGATCAAAACTGTAAGGCAAACATAGATGTCTAGCATTTACCCAAAACGACATGATTCTTTGCAATGAGTATTTGATAGTGCAACTTAAAAACATTTTTTGTTAGACACATAACTTCTCTGTGTCATTTATTCTGCTTATGAATTACATCTTGCTATTTTTTTATGAAGCTGAAAGTTCATGCAGTAGCAGATGCATTAACAATAACAATAACAACATATTGTCATATAATCATATGTAGATGTCATGATGTGCATATTTATATGTTGGATGCAGGAAACTCTTCATATTTACAAATGGACTTCATGATTTAATTGGCATTATTCTCATTTATGACATTTAATTCTACAACATACTATGACAAAAGGCCAAAGATGGCTAGTTTTGTCCTCAACATGTAAGTGTAATTCACATGTCATTATATATATATTTTTAAAAATGTTAATACCAATATAAGTAACAAATGTTTTCACAAAAAGTAGATGGAACTGTATTCTGGTGCTAATTTGTCATATGTATATATATGCAGATAAATTTAGCATTTTGGCCTATGTATATTAATAGATTCAACTATATTATGGTACTAATTTTCTGTGTCCACAAAAATATAAAAAACAATATAAATAATAAATGATGAACTAATTCTTTTCATAGTACGTACACCTGTGTATACGTGCCCATTTGGCCTTGGAATACAATCTTAGCTGATCAGTATTCCTACAATTTTCACACATGCACGTACGCACGTGCACGCACACACTGTTTTGAATTTCATAATTATTGTTGTTGTTTTATAAGAATATGGTCTGGACATTTTTGAGCAGAAATTGACGTTACAATTGTTCTATGACAGCTAGCTTGCAGCATCCCAGGCTCATAAGTTTCTTCATTGCCTGCCTGTTTGTTTCTGGGAAACATACATATATAGATCAATTAAACCATAGGATCGAGAAGAACACAAGTTCCGTGTCATCATCGACATGGATCAACAACGAATGGAGTTGCCTAAGCATGTTTGTTTCAAGGGTGACAATGGCTTGTACCTCAGTGCACGGATCATTCAGGGCTACAACTATTTGCAATTCTCATCGAATGATATGGGTGATCCAACCATAAGGCATACCATTCATACCAACACCAATGGTACCATCCGCATAAAGTCTGACCATTTCGGCAAGTTCTGGAGGCGTAGCCCAAACTGGATCTGGGCGGACTCTGATGACACCATCAGCAGCAACCCTGACACCGTGTTCCGGGTAGTCAAGTTTGGTGACATTTTTGCGCTTCAGAACCTCGGCAACAACTACTACTGCACAAGGTTGACTACTGAACGCAAAGTGAATTGTCTCAATGCCTCTGTTCCAAGCATTAATCAGTGGGCACACCTACGGATTGAAGAAACAGTCCTTTCTCGGAGGATTTACAACATTGAGTACAACGTAATGGATGCTAAAGTCTATAACCAGAAGGTACAGACTATGGCTACCGAAACTGCTATTAACAGAACTGCTACGACCAGTGTGGCTAAGCTAACCCTGAAGTACGGTGTGACCAAGAGAAGAACGTGGGATTCAAGTGTCTCGTTGAAGCTAGGCGTCGCAACCACCATTCAAGCTGGAGTCCCACAAGTTTCAAGCTCATCGGTCAAAATCGAACATGAGTTTACTGAAGCATACAACTGGGGAGAATCCATATCTCACACGGAGGAGCACTCGGTTGAATATGAGATCCCTGTGCCTGCATACACCAAGGTAACACTAAGCATGATGGGAAAGCAAGGCTCGTGTTCTGTCCCCTTCTCATACTACCAGGAGGATATTTTAACCGATGGACAGAAAGTTGTCAACAAGTTTGATGATGGGATTTACCATGGCATCAACAGCTATGATTTCACTTCCGAGGTCACAGAAGAAAAACTTCTTCAAGGGCCCACGACGACAGATAGCACTTGTACGTTCCTATAATGCACGTGTTTTTGTATGTATGTATGTGCCTATGCAAGTGTGTATATGCGCATAGCTAAATAAGCCACGATGTCTTGCCTATTAACTCGGCACACGTACTTACTTTGGTCTGTTTTATGCCGTGTGCATGCAGACGTGCACTTGTCATATATGTAATACTACTAGGACTTTCAATAAACAAGAATGTTTGCATCCCACATCAGTAACTGAAGCAGAGGATTTTGCTTCATGGATGAATAATTGTTGGTGCCAGCCAATTCCAACACCATGCCTAGTTTTGGAGTGGATGGGGCAGCATTTGATTGCAATATATTCTTGAGTACCAACACCATACAAAGCTCTCCTTACCTCTAAGGCAAACAACATTCTGTGTTTATTGATACCAAGTCCATAGAGACCAAACGACACTGTGTGTTTACTCATACCAAACCCACAGCTCCTGGTCTCGGCCAACTTCCATTGGCCACAAACTCTCCATCATCCAAACCTTCGTTAGATGTGTCACCCTACGCCAGCATTGCATGGACTCCTAGTCAATGCCACCCAGAGACTAACAGCCTATTCGTTTGGCTGTGGCTTGTCGTAAACGATCGTAAATTTCCAGCCGGAACATTATTTTTCTCTCACACAAACCAGCCAGCAGTACTTCTTCACGAACCAGCAACGAAACGAACCAGCCAACCGAACAGGCTGTAAGGCTCCCATCGCAAACAAACGCTTCTAGGAACTAATTGATGGCATTGTGCTACTAAAGATCAGCCCAAGCCTCGGATTTGATAGCAGTGTGCTGCAATCTAGTCTCCCGTGCAGCTCTACGATGAAATGATTGGAGACATTGCATTCTATTGCCAATTTGAGATGAACTTACTTGCATGAGCGCTCATTGGCACAAATAAAAAGAAACAATTTTTGAAGATCCCCCCGTCTTACTGCATAGGTGAATCGTAACGGCAATCAATATAATCAGACATCAGGAGCCCACCGTATCTATAGATGCATTTCCATCACAGTGGCATTTGCAGAGGTGGTCGACTTAAACAACCACATCTGAAAATGTGTATTTCTATGCTCACCGTCTCTAGAGACATTCCTATGTCCATAGGCAGTTCATATAACTAAGGATCTGCCTATAAAAATAGTTGTTTTTCTTTTTGCTATCTTTTTAATTAATTGTAGTTCAACAATGAATTTTTTTGGAGGAATACATAACTTGCATATTCATCTGTAGTTAAAAGCACGTCATCCATTGTTGATCCCTGCAATATACTACATACTGGCCCTCGTAATCTCGTGGGAGCTTATGCCTCCCCAAATTAACTATGGAAAAAGACCTCATAAAATTTAATCACTGACAGCAACATGACCTCTGTATTAACGTTAGATGATGCCATGTAAACAATCATAATCACCTCGCTTTAACAGCCAGCCGTAGTACAACCCCATCAACATTGAACATGTCCAAAACTCTTCACTACTTACCGTATTGCAAGCAGCTCCCGCGCCTGAGAGTCCCCATGCACCCATGACATCGCTGTCTTGTGCTGTGCTTAGTGCCTGATGAGCGGCGGTGGCGGTGTCTCGTGATGGGAAGCCGCCGCCGCATGTTGCCACTCTTTGCCCGCACCACAGTCGGCACCATGGCCCGGGGAACTGCAGCAGCAGCAGCAACAGGAGCTGGAGGCTCACCGTTGTCATCGCCTTCATCAAGCCGACTTGCCGCCCTAGGGTGCTGAGGCGTCATGAAGATGTTCCCGTCGCCGCCATGCCATCTGGAAGGAGCCCTGGGATGCTGAGGCGTCATGAAGGAACCCTGGGGCGAGGGCTCTGTGACATCGGAATCCTCCAGGTGGCTGGAGGAGGACAGGAAGCGGTAGTGCCTCATGGTCTTCTTCTTCAGAGCCTTGAGGACGAAGGGGATGAGGCCATCCATTTTTGCTCTCATGCAATGCAAGGGAAAGGGAGGAAGCAGCAGCCAGGGAGAGTTGAAGTTCTTGAAAGGTACAAGTCTGCAAGAGATAGTCCAATTGGAAAATGACAAGTCATAAATGTCTGGCAAATGACAAGGGAATATAATGTATTTTAACTTGGGACTTAGTCATCTGGAAGAGATAGTCCAATTGGCTTCTATACTACTGATGCCATGCGTACAATCGATCTTGTTCAAGCAACAATATTTCTGACAACTTTTGGTGATGCAAGAGTATAACTGTAATGGAAATGTCTGCTATATCTGTAATGGAAATCATACATTATATAGCCTATATGGTTGGATCCTCAGCTTTGACAAGTTTCATTTCCGTTTTCTTATAGCTTCTTAATAAGCTGGATAGCATGCTGACAATATAGAGTTGACACGGATGGGCTTTTTTACTACCTCAAACCATGCACCTGGTCATGTTTACCTTGAGATGTTTTTTTTATGTGTGATGAATCATGACAGACTGGTGGGGATTGATAGAGAGTTAAGCCAACAGGCTTTAGGATGTTTACATATAGGGGATTTACAGGAGGGTGGCCCAAGGGGCCAGGCGAGTGTGAAGGGGCCTGTCCAGCCAAGCAGGCGGCACAGGAAGCTAGGGGATTACATAAAGGAGTAATTAATTCTAACACCCCCCCGCAGTTGGAACGTCGATGGAACGAACATTGACTGAGCGAAATTTGTGAAGAACGAGGAGGGAGCCCTTGGTGAAGACATCTCGTCTTCGCGGCGTTGTAGGAACGTGGAGGACGCGGATAGCTCCAAGGGCGACCCGTTCACGGACAAAGTGAAGGTCGATTTCCACGTGCTTGGTGCGTTGATGCTGAACGGGGTTGGTGGAGAGGTAGACAGCGCTGACATTGTCGCAGTAGACGAGGGAGGCAGTCTTCAGGGGGTGGTGCAGCTCCTGGAGAAGTTGCTGCAGCCATGAGACTTCGGCGACACCGTTGGCAACAGCACGGTACTACTGCTGACTTTCAACTGAGAGACAATGAATCCTTTTGGACGACCAGAGATGAGGCTGCCACCGAGGAAGACACTAACGATTGGAAGCGGCGATGTCCGGGCAGCCGCCCCGATCGTGCCGACAAGCTGAGTTGGAGCAGACCGGGGGATGATCAGGCCATAGCTGATGGTGCCCTGAAGGTAGCGAAGGATCCGCTTCTGTCCCTCGTGTGAGTCTCATATCATGCATGTGAAGGCAGATTTAACCGATGGACATATGCAATGTCGTTTGATGAACGCGTCAATCTTGGAGGGCACCTGTAAGGCTGCGGTAGGCAGTGGGATCATCCACAGGAGGGCCAGCATCTGCGGAGACCTTGGCACAAGTGTCAACGGGGGTAGAGCAGGGATTGCAGCCACTCATACCATGGCGTTCCAGAATGTCCAGGGTGTATTGCCGCTGTGAGAGGATGAGAGTGTCCCTGTGTCGCTGAACTGCCACGCCGAGGAAGTGATGCAAGGGACCAAGGTCTTTCATGGCAACGCCTTCTTAACAATCACACGGCAGGAGCTGCCGAGAGGAGGCGATGAGACGACGATGTCATCCACATTTGGTCTGTTTTGTATGAATAGGGAGGTGTCGACTTTGCTTCAAAGTGCAACCAAACGTGCACTAAGTAGCAAATCTGTTGTACCACGCACGGGCGCTTTCAATAGAGGGACTTGTTGAGCTTACGTTTGTTCAAAGCAAGGTCATCAACCCGTAACTGAGAGCAGAGAGACGGTTTTGACAAAGTCCCATGGAGGAAAGCATTCTTCACGTCGAGTTGATGAATGGGCCAATCCAACAGTGTGCCAAGGTGAGAACGCAGTGGATGGGGCTGGTTTGATTGGCTGAAAGTCTCGTCTTGAATCAACACCGGGCGCCATAAATCCATGAAGGACCCAACGAGCCTTGTATCTAAGGAGCCATCAACATGAAACTTGTGTTTGAAAATCCATTTTCCAAAGTGACCACATTTGCCTTGGCCGACGAGAAACAAGGTCCCACGTGTGGTTGTCCAGAGAGCTCCCACGGTCCAAGCGACATGTGGACCACGTGTGGTTCTTCTTCCATGGCACGGCCAACTCTTGGATTGGCAAGAGCGTCATTGGACCACAAACTCTGATGTGGCCTCATCGAGACCTTCGGACTTCCAGGTCGTCATGCCATGAGAGTTGGCGGCCGGAGGGATGGGGACATTGCAACCGGAGGGCCGTGCTTGACATAGCGGCCTAGGGGAGGGAACAATGCCAGCCAGCGTCGAGGAGGGCCTCCATCGCAATGAGCAAACGGGAGGCGCTGGAGTACATGTGAGTGATGGGAGCTTGCTGAAGCGAGGAGCCGGAGGCGCTAAAGATCGGTTCGGGCACGACATGGTGCTGGGCGCGCAGCTGGGCAGGAGGAGCAATCCGCGCAAGGCGCCTTAGTCTCCAGCGTCATGCATCTCTACGGCGATGAAGGATGAAGCTGGTGGAGGCGATTGGACATTCTATTGCCAATTTGAGATGAACTTATGGCGATGTTGGGAGCATGAAGTGGATGCCGCATTGGCACTAATAAAAGGAAAAATTAGGGGGTCATCGTTAGTTAGAAAATCAAGCTCCCGTGGAGGAGGTGAGGATCGCGAAGGGAAACGGAAAAGTTGTTTCGTAACGGCAAACGATATAATCAGGTGGCGAGATCGAGGCACACCGTAGCCCTTGTGATTAGGCGATAGCCGATGAACACACATAGGCGGAGCGTGGAGCAAGTTGTGGGGTGTTGTGGCGGTGAGATTGGGATAACAGGTGCACCCACATCTCGAGGTTATGGTACGAGGGTGGGTGCCATAGAGCTCACCGTCTCTAGAGTGCTCATGTGCATTCGTCTTGGTAGGGAGTCGATTCGGGAGGAGAGTAGCAGTTCAAGGGCATCACTAAGGGAAGGTGGCATGGAAGCCTGAAAGAGGAGTTGGGTGACATTGTTAGTGGTGCGAATCATGCGCTCGGCTTTCCCATTTTGTTGAGATGTATAGGGACAGGACATACAAAGAGAAACGCCGAATGGCAAGAAAGAATGCACAGGCGAAGTTGTCAAACTCACGGCCGTTGTCATATTCATCTGTTTTTGATGGTGCAAATTAACCGAGTTCACATGAGCAAAAAAGTTGGAAATGGTAGGAAAAGTGTCGACTTGAACCGAAGTGGAAAGGTCCAAAGGAAATGAGAGCAGATCCATCGAGGATAACAAGGTAATATTTGAAACCGGATACCCAATAGGTGATGTCCACAAATCACAATGCACCAAATCAAAATTACGAGCTGCTCTAGAAGAGGAACTAGTAAAGGTAAATGAGCATGGCGTCCCAAGTTGACACGCATGGCGATTAATGTTAGATGATGCCAGATGATGGAAGAGGATGAGCAAGATTACGAAGAGCACCTTGCCGGCTTTAACAGCCAATGCCGTAGTCTGGGAGGAGTAGTCACCCCATCAGGGGCAGGAGGAACATGTCCAAAACATCAAAGGAGGGTGTTCTTGGAATGCGATCCTTCACAGAAACACCAAGAGGGTCAAATTCAACCGCGCCAGAATTGTCCCAGAACTTGACATCGAACGCTTGATTTTTTAATAATATCGGGAGCTATAAGGACATTATTGAGGCGAAACGGGCGGGAAGGATGGAGAAACCAGTGCCAACGATGGAGTGGCGCGCCACCAACAACAATGGAGGATGGAAAGAAAGAAGATGGCGCCCGTGACCATACCAGTTGGAGGCAATGTGAGAGGAAGCACCGTCATTAACCCAGTCAAGCCCGGCGGCGGAGTCAATATTTTGAAAAGGCGTTAACGAGGACTCAGGTAGTCCATGGCGACCAAGTAGGAGAGGGCTTATTTGGGTGCTGATAGTATGCCCCGGGTTTGGCGGTGGAGTGAAGTAACCGGGGGCACACGAGCCACTAGGGCTTGCACGGTGATGGAGGCGGAGACCATGGCGGTGGACCGCGAGGACCGCAGCCCGCCACATATGGATGGACCCGTCCATGGGTTGAACATGGAAGGCCACTCGCTGACCGCTGGTGCACTTGGCCACTGGGTTGCCTTGGTGCTTGGTGAGCCGCCTCATGCACCACCTGTTCCGCGTCACTTGCCATGACGTCGACCGCGACCGCCGTCGCGTGTGGCGACAGCTGCCCCCCGGTAGTCGATGAGGACGCCGGAGGAGCGAGGGTGGGGAGTAGCGGGCTGCTTGCGACGGACGATGAGGCGACGAGGGATGGCTCTGGCACCATGTTGAGTTCAATCCGGAGATCAACACGGTGGCTGGAAGGAGGGAATGGCCTCAGTCGAGTGATGAGTGCGACATGAACTTCGTTCATTGAGTCCTTGAGGACGACTAGTGTGCGGTCTAGAACGGGCTCGCCAAGGTCAAGCGCATCTTTGCTCTTCATCTTGCGGCGCATTCGCCGATGGAGAGGGCGCCCTGGCGGAAGCAGCTCAGCATCGAGGAGCATGGCGCGCGTGATTCGCGGTTGTTGAAGAACTGCTGCTTTGGTCGAGGCCGAGTCTTGCCCGGCGGAGAGGCCGTCGTCATGCCAATTGAAAACGACGTCGAGGAGGTCGGGGGAGATGGTGTTGAAGATCCATGAGACGACGACGCAGTCCATGCGAGACCACGCCGCATCACAGGGGCGAGGAACGTCGCTGAGGACATGGTCCTTCAGGGCGTAGCGGCCGAGGACGAGAAGGACGTAGCCACGCCATTTGGAGTAGTTGGAGGATAGTCAAGGACGATGGGGATCAAATTCTTGATACTACTGATGTCATGCTATGAATCGATCTTGTTCAAGGTGATGGAGCGCGTGTCGTCATCTTCGAAGGTGTCGTCGCGGAGGACTCACTTTGGGCGATGCAGAGTATCGAACTGTAATGGCGCTTGTCTCGAGATATCGGGCGTAATGCGTTCTGGCGGCGGCATGCGGCAGATTTGAGAAGGTCCGCCTCTCTTGAAGGAGCCGATCGCGCTTCGGCGTTGGATCCTCAGCTTTTGTCTTCCGACAAGTTTCATTTCCGTTTTCTTATAGCTTCTTAATAAGCTGGATAGCATGCTGATAATATAGAGTTGACACGGATGGCTTTTTACTACCTCAAACCATGCACCTGGTCATGTTTACCTTGCCGTGAAAAGCGAAGCGAGGAAGGGCACAGGACAGATTAGTCTCTTGATACCATGATAGAGAGTTAAGCCAATGTGCTTTAGGATGTTTACATATATAGGGATTTACATGACAGACTAGGGGATTACATAAAGGAGTAATTAATTCTAACAGGGATAATGCACACACAAGGCACTAGGAAATTTTGGGTGCAAGAATTCCTTAAAACATTTTTTGTTTTTGGGATCCAGCTAAAGAGGGAAATAGCTCAATGTAAATAGCCAATGAGCTCTTAGAGCATTTACAAGAGACTCTCTATATCTTTCCTAAATGTTAGAATAGAGATTTTGGTGAAAAACAATCCTACAACAGCTTCTCTAAATGATTATCTAAATATAGCCATCTTCTATTCCGGATTTTTCACTAGCTAAAAATAGAAGACGAGAATGACTCTGTAGAGTGTGCATGGAATATAGAAAAACTGCTGGGGGAGTAAAAAGATATAGAAAAGCGATTTTTATGCAAATGACTCTCCAAATGATAATTTAGAGAGTGAGATTTATAAAGGCTCTTGGAGATTCTCGTAACTCCAACAATTTATCAAGTAAATAAGCTAAGAAAGCTAAGATGTCTATGTCAAGGTCAACCAGCAACAGTACAATAACACATATCGATCCATTTGCAATTTTGTCAAAGTGTTTGACAGGCTTGTTAGTCTAGACTACATTTAATTAAGGATTATGGACCAACTACGTCGGAACAAAAATCTTTACCCTATGGATTGGCCTTCACATAAGCATCTCAGTGGGATACATTAATCTTTGAAGTTGACCAAAAAAAAATCTTACATAAGTAATAACACTCAAGCGCATAAACACATACACTATGTTCATGTTTAACCCAAGAATTTTTATCCAATTATCACCTGAATTCTGGATATTGTATAACGAATTAATCTGGATCAATGGTGCCAAGGGGGAAGAGCCCCCATGTCTGAACTATCTGTGGCCAATTGTAAGAAATTTGAAGTGCCATTTTTTATAGAACACTTGCATTCAAAGAATCAAAGCCAAGTAGATTTACTTAATCAACTTTAAATGGGTATTATAAAGTTGATCCCAACATTCTGTGCATAAGCTTTATCCATAGAGAAAAGGAGAATTTCTGAACTAATATTTAGCTCAATATGTACTATGTGTTAAACCAATATCCTAGCATAAGCATTTTACCTTGCACGGCTAAAAACGGCCAACAACTAACTTTCTGTTTGCTTGGCACACCATTTCTCTTGTATAATAGATCAGATCATCACAGGTCCATCATTTATTAATTTATTTTGAGGTCTTTCACAGATGGGAGGGATTAGATGGCCTGTATTAATTTGAAGGTACTGTAAAATACCCTGAATAGTCTGATTCTCTATCCTAGATAACAATATAATGATCAGCATGCACCATTACTGTCATTTATAGATGGTATCAGTTATGAAGAATATTATCTGTTCAGATGCAAATATAATGATTTTCACTGACTTCATATACAGACCAGTAATAGCTACCATATTAGTATCCATCAACAATGGCTATCAGAAGAACACCAGACTATACCATGTTCAGCAGGTACTGAACATGATTGTCTAGAGAGTTACTCAGTGCATCCTTGTGATGCCGATGAGTTGATATGTACAATCAAATTGTACCAAGTCATTGGGATCTTTACCACAAAAACAAGAATTTTTACAAGAAAAGGAATCTGAAGCAAAAATTGCAAAAATAAGGATAAATTGTCTCATTCATACATCTGCGTGCTGGCATGCCCATTACATGTAAGAAAGGACTTCCAAGGAAACCTAGCTAGCAACCTTCAAGTACAAAATACCATAATACAAGGTCTGCCTTCTTTTAATGTTTTCTCTAATATAACCCTAGCAATATAATAATGAGAAATACTTCCCAGCAGCACTGAATTTAATGGTTCTTGGAGATGAAGGTTAGGTAATACCAAGCTGCAAATGCCAGGCCTAGCACAAACAATGGGAGTAGAAAGTCCAGGAAGGTATTTGGATTAGGAGGGCCTTTGTTCCCTTGCATTGTCCTGGAATTTGGTGGTACATCAGCGCTCCAAGGATCTGTGGCCTTCGATGCACTCGGACAAACATAGCCCTTGATGCTTCCGATCAAGTAGCTGTCCATCATGCTGACAGCTGAAGTGCTGTGTCCCACCTCTTCAAATGCTTCCGTGGCATCCCCAGAGGCTTCAAGCATTTATTTACAGCCAGAGGAAACCAAGCTTAGCAAATTCTATTTATCAAAGTATCTTGTCTGAATCGATGTAATATGGTAAACATTAAAGTTTTGGTTGTTCACTTAAATTCAGGTAACATTTTTAATCTAAAGACAATTATAGTGGAATTAGCGATCTGGTTTCATTTGGGAAGACAAAGCGCAATTGCCAATGCTAAAAATTTTTGAACTATATGAAAGCAACATTCGAAGTAAAGAATATGTTAACTTCCATGTGTTGGTCTCTCTTGAGCACAACATATTTCGAACATCACCATCCAAAGTTCTAGAATTTTGGCAAACAGCTTTTGCATAATTAGACTTTTGAATTCAACTAACTCTTCAATCTTTCTAACAAGGAAATAGAAATATAATATTGGTGTACTAGTGAGAACGAAAAATATTTTAAGACTCAAGAGTTCCACATATATTCTACTATGGACAGCTTGGAGAGATTTCTAAGGCCCCGTTTGGATCCTTGGAATTGAATTCATTTTAATAATCATAATTTAGACACATATTAATTAAGCTAATATGGTTGTATATGAATTATATTTGTATATTATTGTTGGCTATATGAGAGATATACTTATGTGTTGTATTTCTACCGTAGGGGAGCGAGTTGAAGAGCATGTTATAAGTTGCAAAATAGAAACATAGAATGGTGATCTATAGAATCAATTTCCATCTCCCATCCTATGAATTTGAGATAGGCTTATATGTGAACTTTGGAAAGTGGTGGAATGTCAAATTCCAAGCCAAATAGTCTAATTTATTAAGTAGATTTCAATTCCTCCAAATGAAAAGGATCCAAACAACCCCTTAGTAAAAAGATTGGTAAACTGACCACACAGGTTAAATCCATTTAGACCGGCCAGGACGTGGATTAGGAATTCGACAGTATCTTTCACATTTTGGTACCATCCCAAATGCTACTTTCTAAGTGTTAATTCATGGTGTGTTTTTTAACTTGATTTCTCATGTAGTGGTTATGGAACTATCAGATCAAATTCTGCATTCAGTTCGCCCTGCAAAGTCTATCAGGTGAAAACAGCTGCGCCTGGAGCCAGAGGCATCGCGATGCTGTTTCAATAAGTCTGAAACCATAACTACAAATGAGGAATTTGGATCAATAAATGGTTTGGTACATGGATTTACGGTTCTTTGAACAGTTAAACATGCAACAGAAATAAAGCAGACGATATGAAATCGAAGCAAGGCAGGGAGCATAAGCTGAGCTTACTACCTGATGCATGGAGGAGCACATCCTCTCCCCCAGGGTGGTCCTCCAAGAACTTGGTCACATCATACACCTGAAACCAGCCAGCCAGAAAAAATAATCAGAAGCCGACCAAACCGTATCAGAGGTCAGATCTCTCTTTCCCCCTACAGAACCAAGAGACGCACAGCAAGCAAGATCTCCTTCTCACTCGCCTTGCCGCCGATGACGACCCAGCAGTCCTTCCTGGAGGCGTGGAGCGCGACCTCGGACGCGGCGAAGAGCTTCTTGGCCTCCCCCGCCATGGATGGCAGGCGACGGACACCAGACACCACACGCTCTTGGTCAACTGCCTTGTCTTTACAGGCGGATGCGGCGAAGAGAGATATGAAGGCGAGGGAGGGGTAAATCTTGGAGCTAGCAAAGCTAAGGTGAGGTGAGCACGCCAAGAGAGCTGCCTCTGTTCTGGTTGGTCACGGGTTGGTAGCTAGCTAGTGGCTGGGGCTCGCTCGTCGGAGAAGACGAGGCCGCCCCCACCCGTCATAAGGATGGCAACGGATCGGGTTTGGGGGCGGATATCCGTGGGTTTCGGGTTCTGCGGATTCGAGTTTGGGGATGGTTTTTTACCCACGGTTTTCGGCTTTGGGGCTCCGAAACCAATCGGGTTCGGTTTTAAGTTTGGTTTTCTATCCGTGGATATCCAATGGATATCCGAAATAGATCATTTGGAATTAAAACTCATGTTTTATAATATATTAATAATAATTTGTTTACTTAGATTATTAAATTTATTTAAAGTTGACTCATGAAAATATTTATTATTGGTTGTCTCTTATTTATATATGTGAATATGTGTATATATATCCGCGGATTTCGGGTATCTGCGGGTTTGGTTTTGGTGATGGATTTTCACCCGAATCGGTTTTCGGGGCGGATTCGGGTTTCGATTTCGGGTTTTGTTTTTGGGTGCACGGAGACTCCATCCGATCCGAACCCGACACGTTGCCATCCTTAACCCGTCACAACCAGAAATGGGCTTCATTCCGAGCGGGGCCTGGGCCTGGGCCATCGTGTACAAATGCAGCCCACTTGACCCACACTGCGTCGTCGCCAGTTGCCGCCGCTGGCCTCTAAAAAGGGGAAATCTTGGCGCCGCTTCTTTGCCTCCTCAATCTTTTCCCCACGTCACATCGTCGCCGTCCCGCCGGTGACCTGCCGCCAGCCCAGCCGGAGTGCGCCGCCGAAAGCTGAGCTGGTACGTGTCTCTTGCTCGCCGTGTTTCTTGCTTTAAGTATCTGTATGTATAGAGTTCGGTACTGCATTTTTCTGTGATGCATTTTTCTGCCCAATCCGTTCGACTTCTAGCCGTCACATCGCACTGGGGCTATAGAAATCAAATGAAGCCTTATGAGGATGTGCTCAAAATTCATCTGTGATTTTTAGCACATCTCTTTTACTAATAGTATAGTAGTCATATCTGAACAGTCCATGCAATGGTTTTTGAAACTTCTAGGGCAAGCCCCTTTCCGAGTAGAGTAGGCCCTTGGGGGTTGTCGTGGGGAATTCATTCTGCGATTTAGATAAAAAATCTCCCATCTGAAGAGGCAATGTTTTGTATCTGAGAATTGTTTCGTGGAACTGTTGGTGCTCTATAATCCAGATACATAGCATGTATAGGTACAGAATTCAAATCTTACTTGTTACTGGAATGAGCTGTGTTCTTCGTGAGGGGAACTGACTGGAATATTCCAATCTTCATTTATCTTTTTCGATCCATTTGTAGTCATGGCAGACGAACCTTCGGATGCGTGTTCACGCACTGATGAAGATGGTGTGAGGGGTAGCTGGAACAACAAACGAAAGTCTACACATGCATGTTCTTACCCAAATAAGAAACATGGGTTCGTGATAAGAAACGAATGGGAGTGCTATGTAATTTGCGTCTTTGCTGCTGTTGTTTTAATCCTCATATATCTCTTCACTGAAGGAGAAGATGAGGAGGACCACGAGGAAGATAGGGAGGAAGAAGGGGAGGTTTCTGAAGAGGATAGGGATGTAGAAGAGGAAGCTAAAGAGGAGGAAGAAGGTGAGGAAGAGGAAGACGAAGAAGAAGGTGACGATGAGGATAATGAAGACGAGGACGAGGAAGCACGTGCTAATCTCCTTAAGGTCGTTGTGGATTGCTTCATAGCAACGAAGGGAACACAAACATCGAAGAAATCCTTGGTATGCTTCGATTTGTACCAGGATATGATGAAGCAGTAAAGGCAAAACATGAAGCTACAAAAGCAAAGAGACGCCTTGAGTTTTTGTGAGATCTTTGATTCTAATGGTAGCAATTTCATATTGCTCATTGCAATTCCAGCCATATCCATTGCATGGATGGACTAAATAGCTTCAAATTCAGATAGAGAAGAATGAAGCTACTGATGAGCTTCAAAGTTCCAATGATTTATGTCACTATTCTGTTTTTTTTTACAATTATTTGTACGAATTTGCTAGCAATTGGGTAGTTTCTCTGTTATGTTTCTAAAATGTCTTTGGTGATGGTAACTATGTGTGCTACATTTGGCCCTTCAACCGTTCTTTGAAAAAAAAAGAATGAATTGATGCCACTACGTCGGAAATTTTTTTGCCAGATTGTGTTTGCCATGTTACTATGTCCCTTTGCCCTTGTACATATTTCTACCCATGGAAGAAATGACGGGTAAAAAATCTTTAATCATGTCTCAAACTCACAAGTCATAAGAAATGGTGTCAATATTATTCCGAGTTTAAAAGGACCATGACGCCTAAGAGGGAGGTGAATTAGGCCACTTAAAACTAAACTTGGTCTCTATTGCCTACTTAAAACTAAACTTTGTCTTTCATCTAATGATCTCGCTGGTCTCCTTGATACACAAAATAATGATATGTAGTTTAAGTACCTATTTTTTTAGAAAAATAAAAATAAGATTAAATACTTGGCATTGGTGTCAGTTCAAAATAAGTGTCACTATGGGATACATGCTGGTCAAACTTTTTTAAGTTTGACTATTTTTATAGAAAATATTAGCAACATTTATATCTCCAAAATATATTCAACTAATTATGCTCCATAAATCTAATATTTTTTTATATATATTTGGATTCTCACCTAGATCCTCCAACTAAAAAAGTGGTTATTTGGGTCCTTCAAGTAATGTCACACCGGAGTACCGCTTCAAATCCTACCACATCACCTCTATATTCCTACATGTGGGGAAAAAAACCCTCTCTCCTCCATCTCCTCTAAGTCCACTCCTCCTCTACTGTCTCCTGTTGGTCCTGCGCCCGCCTCGTGGCTGCGCCTACGGGCTCGCCTATGCTGCGCCCACTGCTCGCTGCCCTTGCGGCTATGTCTGCACTTCAGAGGCACACACTCAACGGCTATGGAACAGACCAAGATCAATGGACGGTAAGGGAGAGGGAGATTGCAAGGTGAGAGAGATGGAGATGGAGTTCTTTTTTACAATTAATCGGCACTGCCACACAGGGAGCTAGCGGTGGCGTGGTGGATTTTGGACCTTTAATGAGCGCCCATATGGTCACTTTTTTAATTCGATGACAAGTAAGACTTAATATTAGATTGAGGGCTTGGATAGTCACATTTTTTATTCGAGGACCCAACTGAGAATCATGAAAAGTTTGAGGATCCAGGTTGTATTTTACTCTAAATAAGCTCCTGGATCCTCAACCTGCAAAAAGCTAAAATCCTACTTAACATACAGATCGGAGGGCAAGGTAAAGATCAGACAAGAATATTGGTTTCACTCTACATGCAAAAAGCTAAAATTTGCTCCTGGCTTTATTCATTATTTTTCCTTTACCAAAGGATATTTGGGCGTGAAGGACTACACAGATCGTTGTTCCATTTTGCTTGAAGAAATCTGTAAAGCAAAGCTAAAGCTTTCATAGAGAGAATCCCACATACCATTTATCGCAGAGAGTCGCAAGGGAGGAGGAACTACATCACTACCGGAAACAGTAAATATGCCGAGTGTTTTTTGGTTTGCCGAGTGCATTTCATAGAGCACTCAACAAAGAGCTGATTTGCTGAGTGTAGTAAAGAAGACACTCGGCATAAATATTGCACTCGGTAAAAAAACACGATTTGCCGAGTGTAGCATATTAGACACTCGACAAACAACAAGACGACACTCGGCAATGAATTGACGCTCGGTAAAATACTATCACGTGACCGGCACGTGCGACGGCCATCTGATGGCGTGCCGGCCGTTACGAAAAGTGCTACTTTGCCGAGTGTTTTCCCCAGCACTCGGCAAACTTATAAGTTTGCCGAGTGTTTTTTATAGGAACTCGGCAAATTCAAAACTTTTTTTCCTCTCCTGCCCTCCAAACTTTTTCTACTCTCCACATACAACATGTGGTACCACATGTTAAAATTTGGTATATTTCTCGATTAGTTTGCTATATTTAATTAATTTATTACATTTCAAGGAATTTTTTGGTATAAGTCAAATTTGAACTGCAAGTGATTCAAATAATGGAGTAAAATGAGTGGAAAATGATATTCATGTTATTGAGTCCATTTTGAGGCCTTACCCGGGAAATAAAAAGAAATTTCGAACATTTTGTTCAGGAAACACGACCACGAACGTGTGGCCGAATGGTTTTTAAATTCTAAAAAAAGCAAACGAAGTCTGAAAATCACGAGATTTATCAAAATCTCATGATATCATACGTGGAGGCTGTGATAAAAAATTGAGAGGGTTTCGCACAATTGGTCACATACGACGCTTACAAACCAAAGCATCTCCGAAGAAGAATCGTAACGTTGAGAAGGATCCGGTAAAATTTGAGGTCAAAGTGACGGTCGAATTGGGGTTTGACTTCAAAACTTTTTGTATAGGCAATAGACAACATAGATTGATTTATGTGTAATTTTGGTAATGTTTTTTATCCGTTCGATAATCTTAATTTGTTAAGTGCAATTATAGAATTTTAATTGATATACATTGAATTTGAGCGACAAACTGCATTAAATAATAACTTTTTTTTCACTTCTGGCATTGAAACTTTTTCTACTCTCTACATACAACATGTGGTACTCCATGTTAAGATTTGGTATATTATAATGGAATAATATTGATAGAAAAATCAAATGAAAAAATTAAATGAAAAAAGTTGGTTTGCCAAGTGCCCCTACTCTAGCACTCGGCAAAGATGGGGTTGCCGAGTGTCAAATCTAGGACACTCGGCAAACATCTTTAAAGGCCCCACACATATGCAGAGTTTAGGTATTGAAAATAAAAAAAAAACAAAACGGGGGTTTGCCGAGTGCTAGATCGCAGGCACTAGGCAAACCTCTCTCGTAACCACACTCAAACTTAACACACAGCCGCACACACACCCCAATCCCGCGCGCGCCCGCCCACACCGCCGCTCGTCCCGCGCCAGCCCCCGGCGCCGCCCGCCCACACCACGCCGCCGCGGAAGCCCGACGCCACCACCGCCCCGGAAGCCCGACACCGCCACCGCCCCGGAAGCCCGATGCCGCCGCGAAAGCCCGACGCCGCGCCCCGCGACCGCTGCCGTCCCCTCCGGCCTTGCGCGCGCCCGGCGGCCGGCACCCCCCGTTGGCGGTTCATAATTTTTTTATGCTTTGTAACTTTTGCCATGGCCCAATTTTGCCTTGGCAACCAAACTGCCAAGAAATTTATCTTGGGGGTGGATCGCTATGGAAATTGAATTTCCCTTGCTCTCTATACTTGACGGCATTTGCTTGATGGTCGCCCCGCAAGAAATATTGTCTTGGCTATGTTCATTTTTCCGTTTGCGGTTTTTGACCCTCAAGGAATGTCTGTTTTGGTGCCGTATAATACACTATAATAAAAATACTTTCAGTTATAATTTTAGAGTTAAATGCATGATGAGCGGCCCCTAAACTTGACAAGAGGTGTCACTTAAGTCCATGAACCTTAAAATCGTATTTCTGGGTCCCAAACTTGTTAATTGGTACACCATAGTGGTTGGTATGGTCCGTAAAATGGACATGCGGTGCACTATTTAACAAGTTTTGAGATGTCCAGTTCACCACTTAACAAGTTCATGGACCCATAAATAAATTTCATAGTTTGTGGTCCTAGATGAAGAGATGTGATAGGTGGAAGATAGAAGAGAGAAGAAATGTGATTGGACAAAAATTTATGGAAAGAAACCATCCATTGGGAATATGATCTCTCTGTGTAGGATCTATATAACTTGATGACTATGGAAACCACCTCATAGCTTCTGTGTTGAGACTGGCCTGAGCACATCCAAAAGATTGAGCCAAACATATGTATGTTGAAGTCGATGAAGTGACCACAAGCATTTCTTTGTTGATGAGCAAGTCGTCTACTATTGAAACAATAGAGCCACTAAATCCTGGAATAAATACATGAAAATGTGAGGACTTGTGGACTTGAACGAATGAGTTGGGTAGGTTCTACCACAAGTAATTTAGTCAATTGAGCTATGCTCAATTTGCAAATTGATTTCTCTTATGATTTTGTTGGGTTCCATGCATGCCATCTGTTCTACTACAATTAAGATATTGCTTAAATGATTGTTTTATTATCATATCTATTACTACATTTAAATTAATGGTTTATCTAAGAAAACATTATTTACATTAGTGGTTGAACTATGTCATGTTTGCAGCGATGATTGTGTTGTGATCAGATCGATTAAGAATGGTACAAACCATTAAGAATGGTCGGTTACTCAGTAATTATGCAAAAATGACAACACTTGAAAAAGAAATAGCTGTGATGACATTTTTTTTCGAGACCGCGCTCAACTGAGCCCTTTTTCGTTAAGAGGGTAGCAAGACGATTACAGAACGCAAGCCACGGCTTGCAACACAACAGGTCAAACTGAAGAGAAATGAAAAAGCGGTAAGAAACAAAGGGTGCTAATACACTAAACCATCTTGTGACCTGGAAGCAACCAAGCAGGCAATTCTCCTGAACCCCGCCGCTATCCAAGCATCGCATTCATCTAAGATCTTTGGAAGGAGCCATGCTGGCATGGTAGCAAACCTCTCAAACACCCAGCTGTTGCGCTCCTTCCAGATGAGCCAGGAGACCAGCAAGAACAGCACATTGAAGCCTCTACGGTGGTCCTTCGGTAACGGCTTCTTCTCAAGAAGCCATTGATCAACGGCCGTCGACTGATCGTGAACAGGCTGCACAAGAGAAATGGCAGCACGCAATCTGGCCCAAACCTCTTGAAACGACCCT